CAGTTTATAGAACTCTGTTTTGGATGTGAAACATGGGCAAAGGGGGAAACATACATGGACCAAAGATTAACTATGTGCTATGGATTTAGCTCTAAGGATGAAGATAATGGCGTAAACAGGAAATGTCGCCCTGCTTGTAAATGTTTTCTAGTTGCCAAATAGTAAAGGTGAGTCATTGACTCAGAGGTCCAGATTCTAGGACTATGCAGAATGTGGCCCACAGCAAATATTCCATGTTCCACGGCAGCTTCCACACAGTGTTTATGACAGATTACAGGGCCTTTGCTGTGAGTTTGAGAGGGAATGTGGTCTCAGGGAGGAGGCTTCAGGCAGACATCCACACCTAACTGACATACCATTAGTTTACTTAAACAGACACAAACTCAGGGGACTTGGATGTCTCCAGCCATGGCAACTCTTCATCCGAGTACGGGGGCAACTTTCCTGATCCTTCTCAACAACGAACTCTGGGTAGCCACTACCTGTTGTCCTCTTCCTCAATGGTTGCTGCCTTTTAAACTATGGCTATCCTCGTCAGCAACAGCAACTGTTCCGCTACCAGCAGCAGTTAGGCTGCAAGAGCCGCAGCCTGAGCAAATTCTGTTCTCTCAGGCACCGAGAGTTATAAAATCTAAATCTCTGTTCCTCTCAAAAATTCAAGAAAGGCTGAAGTAGAATTCTGCCCCCCAGAGAGGCTGATTGGCAAGCAGCTCAGCTTGCTCTTGTGCTCACCCCTCCAAAGTTCTCTCCTGTCTCCTTAAAAAAAACCTCCACCTGGCTCCTCCCTACAACTTCCGGTCAGCTAGTTGTTCGCGCAACCTCCTGATTGCAGGTGAATTTTATTTAAGCAAACACATCTTTGCATCATTAAACAAATGTCCCAGAACATGAACAAAAGTAACACATTTTAAAATAATATTCTACAGCAACTACCAATTGTGTAAAAGCAAGCAGGCATGTTAGGAACTTGTGCTGTCCCAGACAGTGTCTCTACGTGCCTCATGACCTCCCAGTGGAGCACATTACAGTGGGGACAGGAGTATTTCTGCCGAGTCATGCTTAACACGAAAGCAATAACTAAACCATGAAAGGTCAAACTGAAGTCTGTCAGCTTGGAAGTCTGATTTGGGTCTTAAGAGAAAGGTTTTGTGAAATGCCAGGAAGCTCCATTCTTGTGAGGTATTTTAATCACATAATTAAAGGGAGATGGCTAAACCTTGCTGAGTAATCTCAACAAGAATGGTAACTAAAATAATATCACTTTTATTTACCCAACACCCACTTTCTAGTGGGCATGATGGACACTTTTATATTTATTATCTCTGAATCACTCCCTCAGCCTGCAAAGTAAATTTCCAGAAGATGACAAACTTAGAGGCCATGGATGGAAGGCGGGGGAGGCAGCAACTAAATCCATTTTTGAATGATCAAAGTTCATGCTTTCTCCAATTTTCATATTTGCAAATAACACAATGGTCAATATCTCAGGTAGCCACAAAAACCACAGGATGTGTTCGTTTGAATTCATTTGAAGTCAGAGCTACGAGTGAACCAATCAGCTTTGAAGTTGCTCATTACCGGTCCTCTATGATGCAGAGAGTTGTGGCTTGTTAATCTTTCTGTTGGAGAGATTTGACTTCTACTAAAATCGAAATGTGTCAGTTTTCTTAAATCTAACAAGACTAACGAGACAATATGAAAAGCCAGGGCTGGAAGAGGGACTTTATTCCTGAGCTGTCAGCGTGACAATCAGGCGGAGACAGATACAAAGGCTTTACTCCTCATCCTTCCCAGAGCAGAAAAAGGAGCAAATAAGTCAACTCCGTTGGGCATTTGCTCAAAACTTACCCCATAGGGAAGGAAAAGACTGAATTTATAGAAACTATAAAGCCTATGTTTAAAACTTATATTTAAAATAGGAAATGGCTTATGGAATGGAACACTACACTGCAATTCTGTGTGAAGCTTATTTCATATCTGTTCTTTATTCCTATAAACAGACTGTATTATATCCACTCACCAAAATTTAGAGATAGTCTATGTAGGCATAGTTACAAACCATTATTTGAAATATGAATTTTAATGTGAATTTCCCTATCTGTAAAACTATATTTGTTTTCTCTCTTTGGTTCTCAGCTGTTGTTTTCTGAATAAAAAATCTTCTTGGAAATGTATAGAAGGTTTTAGGTCTAGGTAGATATTTACAAAGTGATTTGCTATTTAGTATTTAATGTCTGCACTGGCTGATCTTACGTGACAGATGCTCTCAGAGAGGCTTGTGGGACCTTTATTCTACTGGTGAAGTTGAGTTTTTCTGGTCGTATAGCAAAATATTCACTCAAGTATTTTTTTTCCTACTTGACTATGAAAGACACACAGTTAAATCATTGAAGGAGCCAATGCAGGACTCTGACTCTTGGTAACACATGCTCTGGTTCCAGTGAGACTTTAGTTGTCCATTATAGATCCAAGCCCCAGGTAACTGCAGACTGATCCACACCTATTTCAAGTCTGAATTAAAAAAAAAAAATCCATGTATATTCTGGAACATTCACAACTGAAACCTTTATGGCTTTAAACACACCTCAGTCTCTCCCCATTCCTCACACCCAGAGTTACAATGAAAGGGGACTAAGTGGATGCCGTGGGAAAGGCAGCTTATGTGCCCACATATTGCTTGAATTTGAGGGAAGGGCATGAGCCTTGGCAACGGCACCCGCCACACTTCCCTTACCCAAACTGAAGGGGAAATGACCTAAATGGAGAATGTTTTTATTTGTAGCCAAACTTTAAGTGGAGGTTCAGGGTCTAGGATGTGCCTGACTGCTTTCCTAGTCTCTGCGAGCCATGTGCAGCCTTTTAAACTCAGGGACATTTCCAAAAGCGCATGCAGCCCAGGCAGCACCGTACCACTAACCCACTGGTAAGTACACAAGACTGAGGACTGGAGAACAGACTGAGCAGGAACATCAGACACGGCACTAGACAACACACAAACTTCTAGTAATTTCTTTTCTTATAATTTTGAACATCAAAATCCATATCATGAAAGCAGTATCTGAGGAAATCTGGATGTGAGCTACCCATCGTATTTGCAGTTTAAAACTCAGAAATAGATGCAATATTTTACATGTGGGCCATTTGGATAATTTTTGTCTCTTTCTTACCATTGAGTATTTGTTATGCATGAATAGGGTAATCATATCGCCCTTGTAATTTACATTCATTGAAGTTTATTCCTATGTACATTGCTAGCATTTATTACAGTACTGATCCATTCTGCCCAGTATATAGCTGATTTAAAGTATGTAAATGAATTAGCACTGTTGTATTGAAACAATCCCGCAAGCCGATGTGTCTATTTATCCCGGGAAGGGAGCTCACAACAGACTAAAGTGTAAATACTCCCAAAGTCCAACTTGGTGAGCTCTGAGTTTTACTGAGGTTACTTACAGGAATATGGGTGAGGGGTTACTTACAGGAGCAGATATGGCTCAAAGGCAGCTGCATCACCAAAGCCCACCTCAGCATGGGAGATATCTCATGAAGCTGAGAATCTGGAGCACACATGGACAGCCTGTAGACAGCTCAACAGGTCGGAGAGTATCCTTTCCAAGTGACTCTGGTCTAAATGTCTTCTCAATGGCTCGATTGGTCTCTGCTTCTTCCAGGCAACTGTCTGGTCTCACAATCTTCTTTGTACCTGGACTTGTCTGAGAGTCTTTACAGCTCAGCCTTGCTTCCTCTGAAAGGGACTCTCAGCTTTTATTGCTTACTCTGGCAGGGAGGGGCCTAGTGAATTTGGTCAGTTTCAGGGACTTCCTGAAGTTATTTTGAATTGTTTATCTTCCTGTTTAAGGAGCTTCCCTGAACGATGAAGTGTTTCAATCTCAGAGGAGAATTACCCCAACAACTCTTCTCCCTGTTGTGATGGGGAATGCCCTTCTGTATGCTGTGATTATGTTTTACTACCATTGGTAAATAAAGAAGCTGATTTGGCCAATAGCCAGGCAAAATATAGCCATTTGGGAAATCCAAACAAAGATAAAAAGAAAAGAAGGTAAAGGAGACGCCAGGAGATGCCAGCAGCTGCTGGAAAAGCAAGATGTGCAGTAATACCATGGTCACATGCTAATACATAGATGGATAGAAATGGGTTACTTTAAGATGTAAAAACTAGTTAGTAATAAGCCTGACCTATCGGCCAAATGGTTTTTAATTAATATTAAGCTTCAGCGTGAATATTTGGGAACTGGTGGGCGGGAGAGAAACATCTGGTTGCACTGTTGCCCTGTTGATATTTTGGACCCAGGAAGATCACAAAATGCATGTTTAGGATCTGGCATATAGCCACATCAAAGATCTGGTACACTGCCTTCACCCCTTCTTCATCTCCTCTACCAGTTTCGATGGCCACCCATCAGTGCTAGTTAGTTTTACTTTCTTTAATTTGACACATGGAGAGTGGGAACCTCAACAGAGAAAACACCACTTGATTGGCCTGCAGTCAAGTCTGTAGGGTGTTTTCTTGATTAATGATTAATGTAGGAGAGCCCAGTTCACTGTGGTCAGCCCTACTGCTGGACAGGTCGTCCTGGGTTGTGTAAAGTCAACTTAATCAAGTCATGGAGAACAGTATCCCTTCGTGGTCTGTGTTTCAGTTCTGGCCTCCGGGTTCCTATGTGAGTTCCTGTTTTGACTTCCTTCCAGGACAGAATATGATGTGAAGGTGTACGTCAAATAATCCCTTTCCTCTCTCACTTGCGTTTGGTTATGGTGTTTTGTCATAGCAATAGTATTCTAACTAAGACGTGTTAGAGCATGACCTGAGAAGATAAGCTAAACCGCTGTCTCCTACGCTGCTCCAT